TCACTTCAATTCTTTTTGTGGTGTTTCTTAGTCATCTTCATCTCACCGCTTACCGAAACAAGCACCAATTAGAAAACGAGAACTTCAAACAACTCATATGGGATGAATCACGCCTTGAAATTTTACAAGAAAAAGTTGCAAATTCCGACAGCGCGGAAGTGTAGTGAGACGGTGAGAAAAGCTTCTGAAGCACAAATCTAACCCTGTGAACCAAGCCGCGAGTTAAATTACCTGGTTCAGATCCCGAGTTATCTGCTCACACAGAGAGCGCATTTTTCGCATAGACTGATGTTCATCCGCCTAAAATAGATTGAAATACATAAAAAAACGCGCACCTCTTAAGTGCCAGAAAAGAAAGTACCTTCATTTCTTCAACCTTTTGCAGCATTTCCTGCCTCAGCAAATCACGCTCCTCAGTAACAGCTTCGTAATCACTTCTGAAACTTTCACCGTAATGTTATCTAGCTCTTCCAAATATAAATGCGTATGCAGAATAATTCGAGCCCTATAAAAGACTACAAAAAATTTGGAACAAACCTGAGCCTCCTGCACTCATCGATAACCACGGAATAGAAAGCAACAAGATTTTGATACTCTGTGCTTTGCATTATCTGAGCTGATGAGCTGTATGCAGACTAAAAAAATCAAATTAAAAGACTAGCAAAACTATTATATTACAACTGCAGAAGAGCTTCAAGCGAAAAGTGACCTTAAGTTCACATCCCATTCGCACACCATCTTCAACAAATTTCTGAATGCGCTCATTCAACTCATGAATTTCCTGTAGTCGTTTCGCTGCCAGGTCCGCATTCAGTTCACTTTCGGCACGAAGTTCTTCAAGCTGAAAGGAAAACGTTGCAGGAACAAACCGTCTACTATCACATTAGACTAGAAAATGTAAAACCTGTGAGTCGCTCATCCCTCCACCGTTGGATACACCATTGAGCATCTTTGCATTCGGTCGCAGTTCGCAATGGGCTGTGTTGTCCTGTTAACAAATTACATTTTCGTACACTAATGTTTTGGATCTACAAGCAATGTTACCAAGCTTTAATAAATACATTCAAAAGAAGAAATAAATCTACTCGAACTACAATACCTGTAATTTTTTCTAGAAACACAACAACACGCATTTTTGCGAAAAGCCAACACATTGAAAATGTCAATCTCGAAGATTCGTACGAAGTATGATAAATTAGCGCGAAACTCATCCTCTTTCTTCACACCAACAATCACACATCGTAGTTGATTGGGCGCATCTATGGATTTGACGTGACCGTCTCCACCCTTGATAGAAAATGCGCGGATAAGCTGCTTCCAGCATGCTTTGCTGTATCCAGCGAAGAATGTTGAGAACAGTTTCGACTTCTATCAAATGCGGCGAGGGCCATATTCAAATCCATCGACACGCCTTAACAGACTCGAGACATGGACTGTGCAGACATTGATGAACTCGCATTCAGCGTACAGCTAGCCACCTAAGGGGCTAGCGATCCTTAGACATCCTCGATGACATAACATCTAAACGATTTCCCCATTTTCTGGCTCCACGATATCAAATCAAAAACTATTTGCTAGCATTGCAGTCTTGAACTTGACGGCGGCCTCATCATTAATAAAACGAAAAACCCGTTTCGAGAAAAATTTGAATTTATTTGCTTCCTGAATTTGATTCATAGGTATCTTTACTATCTATCCTGAACAACAAATTGATGTATTTCTGACAATCGTACGGCACACTTATTATGCCGTCTGAAGAAAGATTCAAGACATCTACTTTCCACGAAGCCTTTCCTAGAAAATATCTGAGAATTCAGCTGCATACAAATGAGATAAATACAGACAGGACTGCTCTCACCCCATTACAAATGATGGATCCGAAATCTGAACAATCTACCTTCTTACCCTTTACCTTGTTTCTGCCTACAGTTCACAATCGCTGACTAAAACTTGTTGAGCTTCAATCACTCTCGGCCAAATGCTCGCAATACCGAAATACACGCGCGTTTCTAATAGAGACAGCCAGACTATTGAGAAGTGAAAATAGTCATTCTTACCTTGGCGAGTGTATACAGTTTGTAATCCAGTTTGTTCACCAGCCGTTGCGCCTTGTTGTCGAGATCAAACTTGGCCTCCTCTAATTCCCTTGCGAGTTCTTCATTACGAGTAGTTAACAATGTAATTTGGGTCTTCGCATTCTTTTAGCTGAACCAGAGTTGATTAAATTTATTGCTTCAGGTATCCTGATGTGCTCACCTTGAGACTGGACCGTGCATATTTTTGCTGAGCACGATTTGTTTCTCGTTGAAGGCGGCTGTTCTCTTCTGTCAGCCGCTCATTTTCTACTACTACACTATGGAAAGCCTCATCTCGACTTTCACCGGCTAAGGACGACGCTGAAAACGCAGTTTTGAAAATATAATACATATCAAAAAACATCTACCAGACTTAGGGCAAGGATACCATGCACATCCGTACCTTGAAACCACCCAAAGGAATTTGTACGATGAAATACTATGAAATAGAGTCATTAATGGGGTCACTCTCAGGGATGAGTTTAGACAGATAGGAATCAAGAAATGGCCAAGTGGATGAGACAGTTCTGTTTCTTACACCAAAGTTGATCCATTAAACAAAATTTCCTGAGTTGAAACAACTAACATTCGAAGAAGCTGATCAACTTCTTGCTGAATGCACGATGGTGTTCCGATTTTCGAGATAGTTGCTGCATAACCTTCTCAAAAAGGCGAACGCTGGAATTAATTGGTTAGGTGGCCTGCAATTATTCGAAGAAATTTTTTAACAAGCTCTACGACACCTTTGTTGCACTCGTTTATCGTAGACATGCTCTCCTTGGACGCCCTCCATTTGTACAATTTCATCCAAGAAATCGCCTGTAGAGGCTTCGTCATTGCTTTCGAGCAACTCTTCAACTTCCTCAGATGAAGCACCACGTAATGCTATCAGTCGTAACTGCTCGTCCAACTAAAACAAGTAACTCCTCAGAAAATAACTACGAGTAGACGAACATGAACCCTTTGACACCCAACTTCCCGTGCTGTTAAGAATTTTCCTGAATGAACAACGCAGGAACAATGCACACCACAACGATTCTTGCACAAGAACCAGCAATTCAAGCCAGAACACTTTCGCGCATGTAGCTTATAACTCCTTATGGCTTGCACAAGACTGAATACTAGTCATGGTGACCAGAATTTTCTACGCATGGAATGAAAGGCGAATTTACTCCCTCCCATTTCTATCCACCTTCTTCTACTATCTCGAACTTCTGAAAACAACGAGCCAGATATATTTATAAAAACCGGCACTAACGTTGTTCCAGTGCCGATTTATAGTGCAGCTGGTATTCTCGTCAGTCATCTGACGCTGTCGAAGCCGCTCTATCTCCCTTTCCTTCGTTTTCAGCTGTTTGTTCTTGTGTCGAAGAGCTTCAGAGAGTTTGTAAGCCTGTACCTTCGCCTTCTTCTCGTCAATGTCATTCTGAAATTTCGTGATGACCTCTTTTCGCTCACTTTGCTTTACAGTCCTTTTTCTGAAACCTGGGCAGCTCAGAAGATTAATAACTCACGACGCCACTGACGGACAGAAGTCGTACAGTCTCAAAGGCAACCAGTCGCCGCTTCTTCGCTGCAATCTCTTGATCATCGGAAACCGAGTGGGAGTCGTCCTGATCCGATCCATCACTATTGTCTGATAGGGATCGCTTCGACATCACCTGCAAATAAATATTCATATAATGGGACTTTCAAAAATACCCTCTCACTTTGGTAAACTACAAACCTCATTTAAAGTTGCAGTGAATGATGATAAATATTCTAGAGTCCTCCTATCTCTGGGTTTGATTCCTTTCTTTTTCTTCACCGGATGAAAATATTTGACGCTGGTGCTAAACAAAACTGCATGAGAACTGAAGAGAGATACGCGCGAAAATCAGAAATTTTCACAACAGAGACACATAACTTAGGTGGTAAAGTAGAAACTGACGAGAAAGAAAAGAAAACAAAGTGGAAATGTTATTGAAGGACAACGAGTACAACGGGGCCTTATATTTGTTACTAAAACCTGGAATGAAGGGAATATTGGTAAATTACCAACTGCAAATGCATTTATCCTTTCCCAAGCTCCAAAGAAGTCAACAGTGGAGCAAAATAATGGTAATGAAGCCTTCTGTTTCTCAAACAACTCCAAGACCATGCCACACCAAATACTGCCCTGTGCTGCTTGTGAATGGTTGAAACATTTATCCAAACGCGCTAAAATACCCACAGGTCACCTACTAATCGTACAGTGAAACCAAACATCGGCCAACTAAAGTAAAAACTCAGTACAAAAGCTGAAGTCCTAGCAACATGTGTGGAGAAGCGCCCGCATGAACGGCAAAACACAACACGCACCGCCAACCGTGACGCTTGCGGCGCAACTCGGTCCTCCCCGTGGGCTCCGTGCCCGCTCTTGTTCTTGCGCTCCGCCCCTGTCCCGTATGGTCCGGTAGAAGATGTCTGGTAGACGGCTATTCGTGACCGGAATTGCGAATAATGTCGGTGAAGAGGCCATACGTACCTATTTTTCCCAATTCGGATTCATGTCCGAGTTCACATTGCCTGTGGAGAGGGAAACGGGTGAGTTGAGAGGTTTTTCCTCATATTAAGCGTTTACCCCAACAGCCTTAGTTTTCAGGTATGAATAGAGGGTACGCTTACATCACTTTTTTGGACGAGGCCTCGACTGCCGAGTGCCTAGAGGTGTCTACGCATAAAATCCGGAATAGGGAAGTAACAGTAATGCGACTGTCTGATGAAGTAAGTTTGAAGGATTGTTTGAGCTAATTTGGCCGGTAACATTGGCAGAGATCTGAAGGCTCAAATTTAGGACAGCTTGACGAAGATGGAGGCGCTGAAGTCACGACGACTTTTTGTGAGCTTCCTTGGAGTGGAGAGTGTCACTGAAGATTCCCTTCGACAAGCGTTTTCCGCTTACGGTTCTGTTTCGTCAGTTCATTTTGCTCGAGTACGCTTTCCAACTTTAAATATTACTCACACAGATTAACACTGTTTTGTTTTCCTACCTATGTTGCCAACTGTGCATGGATCAGTTGATCTTGGACGAAATGCAAGCCCATACTTTTGCAATCCGGGCGACGTGATCCCAGGGGATCGTGATCACGTGATCCCATAGGGAAAGAAAAATCCCTCAAATTCCCTTGTCTTCTCATGAAAACCGCCCTGAGTGCATCTTTGTAATGTATAAATGTGTGTAAAAGCAAGCGTGTACGGAAAGGAAAGGAAGTGGGTCTTTGAACAAATAAATTTAGAGGACTCTTTTGCTCCTCTAGCTTGGGGAAGGATAGGATACGGTCCAGGAATCAGGGTGAATATCGGTTGAGGATTCCTCAACGGCACGTCGAGGATTTTCGCCTGATCAGTTACGTTCTCCCGCGCGGACATTCACACTCGCCATGCGCGAGCCGTCTGTGCTCTCCGCGCGACGTTCACTCTCGGCACTACTCTCGCACAGTAGAGAGCCATGGTCGAGGATTTCCTCGACCGTTATTCACCCTGCCAGATATTCGTAGTCTTTCAAGGGATTATTCGCCATAACTCATCCCATTTACACATGCAAGTAGGTGACATTGGCAGTGAACTGTGAAGCTGGGCATTTGGCTCACAATGCAGTTCCGGGTTGTGAATAGCTTCTTTTGACGCATTTTCAGAGTGAATAACCACATATATCCCGAGATATGTGCGCTGAAGGAGTAAATACCGTCTCAGTGGCAGAAAAGCGCGGTCACATCACATATACAAAGAGCATACGGCTGCGTCGTGTGTTCTCCTCACACTTCAATGACCCAATATTTTGCATACAGTAGCAGCTGAGCATGTAGCCATGGGTACGAAACGCTACGTGCCTACCGGTGAGATCTCCTCTGTTGCCTATGCTGACCTTTACCCTCACACACCATTTATGAACCATTGATATCGTGAGCCTAATCCATCAAGAGGAAGACGCAAATGTTCGCTCATCACGTTAGCTAATCACACAAGAAGTGCGACACGTGCGATAAGCTTGAAAGTATTGAACTTTGATTCTATGTTGCGTCTACGGCCTAGTTCATGACAGCGACTGCACTTCTGACTATTTTTTTATCATGCTTGCTATTCACGCTTGCAAGCTCAAGACGTGGACGTGTACTGGGATATATTGAACGCAGCAGTTGACACCTGTATGGCTCCTTAGGAGCCTTGGCATGAGGTACTGTTGGCTGGTGTCTCTTGTTGCTCTCCACGAAGATGTTATGCGGACTTTAATGGCTTACGTTCCGGCGGGATCGCCTTTTTGAGCAGCAGCTGACCTTTTTGTTTCTTTCCATCTCGAATGGGCTTGCATAGAACTTTTTGTACCTAAATCTGCTTGTAAACTTTGTGCACACGAACATCGCATTACGTAGAGTGCGAATAAAATCAATAAGTTTTATTGCTTGGAAATGATGAATCACGACACAAATGTACAATAGTGGTGCCAGATGGATCTTTTATACTTACTCTAAGGATAGGTAGAAAGCACATATCTGCTCTTGTTCAACTCTTCCTAGATATCCTGTGTGAAACATTAATTCTAAGCAGTTTGTAATGTGTGGAGCTTTCATTCTGTCTGTTCTGCGAAGTCAGCAGCTGACGGTCAAGGACATCATGGCTTAGTCTTATTCGTCTCTTCCATGCAACTGTTTCTCTAATCGCTCATCCTCCTATCCTCTTTCCTCACCGGCTTTCAGAGTCTGCTTTTCCTTGCAGATCACTTGCCATAACGCGAGGGCGGGAAGGATGAAGTGATATACTTATGATCCATCTGTGCCTCCTCTCCCATTTCCGTTTCTTTGAAATTTGGCAACCCTTTTCCAAGACTCGTGGACTTCATCTTCTCGTAATTTCCATCCTGGGCATAAATTTGGTTACTGTTGGGGGCCGTACTGTCAAACCATGCTCCCTGACGCTCTATTCCAAGGTTATTCAGGTGATCTCTTTCATTTTCAGTCTTCACTTTTAGGATGAAGAAGGAAAACTTCTGTACTATGCAATTTTGACTTTTGACAATGAGGATGCTGTCGACTCGTGTTTGAAGCTGAATCACTGCATTAATGGACGGTTCGTTTACTATTAGTACTACTTACTCGTCTGGTTAATTTTGGTACTTATAGATCGATTGCTGTAAGAAAAGCAGTAACCAAGGAACAGTTCAAGCTAGCTGAACAGTCTGAAAGGGAGCGTGCACATTTGGAAGAACATGTGAGTAAAACTTTTAATACTCATCACTTTATAAAGTAGTGTTGTCTTCCTTTAGGTTAGGAGGATTACCTATGATGTTATTACCATTGTTTGTTTATTCGACTGTCACAATATTAAACCAGGATCAGATTTTTTTCTCATATTTCGCTGACCTAGACATCCATAGATTCTTTTTATCATAATCTAGTGCTCTTGATTCGGTGCATTTGGAGATTTCACATATTTGTTTGCTATTTCAATTAGGAGCTCCGTCTCATGTTTTATTGGGAAGAATCTTGAACGGAAAAGAGGAAATACCTTTCTTTTCCTGCGAATGGGAGGTTCATGAGCAATAGTAATGCTTTAACACTGCTGCACCCGTTCCTTCCCATGTCCATTGCGACGGAGTAACTTAGCTGATGCATAAGCGGCGAGTAGGATCAGATGCCGCCGTTTAACATCCATGATCCGGGAATGAGATTCTGGATCGAACCCTGTCCATGACAGCCACCTTCTTCCGCAGTCGAGAAAAGAAACTGAGCCGATAAAAACTGACCTTAACCCACGTTGCGTCTTCATATTAGCCAAATACACCTTCGCATGATTTTGCCATCCCAACAAAATAAAAAAATGTGTTGCGTTTGAAACAGATTTCCTCACTTCATGTCACTTATACTTTTCAAGGGAAGTCTATCTGTACGATTGCGCACGGGTGCGACGTGCGACACTTTGTCTTTTTTTGCCTTCTTGTTCTTTGGATCTACAGGATGTTTGTATGCCCAGATGTTATTTCAACTTCTGCCTCGAGACTTTCGTAGTGTCATGGACTAACAGGGGATAGTGGGGGCACAATGAAAATTATTCTGGTAACCTCGCGATTTTTTTGTATCGGTAGTGAATCTGTCTGGGAAGGAATCAAGACGCCTGTGTTTTCAGTTTTGTTGGCTGGTGTTTGATGAAAAGGGGTATGGGAGCTGGGTATAACAAGGAAGGCCTTCTTGCCCTGGTGTCTCTTCATTTCTTTGCTGAGTAACTCGTTCTCCTCCTATTTCCACTCAACTAACGATTATTGTTAAAGCCATTGGTTTTTAGCTGTAGTGTAAAATTTGCCAAGACAAAATATACGCTTCATATTACAGCTCTAACGATATTATTGCAGCAAAAAGCACGGATATGCCGGATACAATAGGACCCGTCTTATTGCCATTCCTCAGCAACCTCAGCGACCCTCTATGGCAAGTATAAACTAATTAACGATGTGTATTTCCGTAGATCGGTTGCTTCCATGGATTCATATCTCTCAGATTCCTCGTTCTACCGTGTATGTGGCTTCTGGTTATCCATCACAAGCTGATTTTCATCAAGAGCAGTATCGACGTGAATACGAGCAATATCAGCTGCAGATGCAGGAGTATCAAAACAGGTCAGAATCCCCCCCCACTGCGAGTAGGAGAGAATTTAGTGATAAAAATTTGCGCGACGCAGACCTTACGCATTTATCTGTTTCCTTTTTTATTTTCTCTTCACGATTGCTAGGAAAGTTTTATTTATTTATCTACTTACCAGTTTAGCTGCGCACGCATTCGCGTGCATCACACGGGACTGCATTGGTTTGAAACAGGGCCATTGATATTTTTATAGCCCACCGTGGGAAACTCCGCAATCCTCGGTGGCGCCAGCCAACAGCATTTGGCCCCATTCCTTCGTCAAACTTTATCCACTTTTCCAGCCTCTGGGCTCCGTTTGAACCCACCTGTAATGTCACGTGACAGACTCCGGCCTACTTCGACGCATGCTCCACCCACCTCTAGTAGTTGATCTGCCTTCCGTTGACGGACTCAATCCACTATTTTCTCGGTCCTCAAGACTTCTTGGAGCCGAGTTAGGAAAGTCTCAAGGATAACTTCCGCCCCCTCTGGACCTGCCCCGCCCATCAATGGCAGTTGGGCTCCACTCCTGCACCCACCTCTATGCACTTTTTTTCCCGGTCTCCAGGACTTATTGGAGCTGAGTTACAAAGTTTTGGGCAAACTCCGCCCTCCTTTGATGCATTACCCTCCCACCAATAGCAGTTAACCTCCATTCCGTTGACAAACGCAATCAGCATCTTTCTCCGGTCTCTGGGAATTATTGGAATTGAGTTATGAATTTTCGTAGCAAACTTCGCCCACTTTGGCCATGTCCCGTCCCCGATGACAGGTTGACCTTCCCCTCCTACATCACAACTACAGTGCGTTTCAAAAGTATGTGCACACCCTCAAAATTCACGTTTGAAAGGGAACCATGAGGTTTCGTGCTATGAAATCCTTCTCAATCGATTTCTCGTAGTCGATAACCTATCATGGAAGCAAGATAATATCGCGCCTTTCAATGGCGTGCGGCTGGGGGGGGCGGGATCGCGTTTGTGTGGCCTCTCTCACATTCGCTGTACGACTGTCATATTGATATTCCTATTTCATCTGCTGTGTATTCTGAAGATTGATCCCTTGTGGCGAGGGTGTAGTGTTCTGTTATACTACTAGCCACCTAATCAGTACTGGTTTTCTCGCAGTGTGCACCGGTAACGAAGTTATTACGGATCGATATCCGTGTCGCTTGATCTTCGATAACCTGCTCTCTTCCTTGTGGCAGGGAATTTAGTTTAAAGAGATTGCCACCTTAATCGGTGCTGTTTTATTATGCTTTCATCTAATAATATCCACACTCCTCGTGCTTCTCATCCCGTTCAGGATAGACCTGTCAAGAGGAAGCCTCCCTGTGCCTCCCCGATCGACTCCGGTGATGGTTTGGTGGATGCAATCAAAAGTTTGACCTCCGATACCACACTCCCTTCTCATGTCAAAACAATCCTTGCCCATCTTCTCGAAAAAACTGCCTCAATGGAAGACCTGGTCCAACGTAAAAATGCTGGAGGAAAACCTTCAGCAGCAAAAGCTCGAAAATGAGCGCCTTCGTAGAGAGATTGATGTACTGAGAAATTCCTTAGGTAGTGGTGATTGTAATGGTAATTCTGCAGTCCAGACCTCGTCAACCAATACTCAAAGTGACATTAACATGCATTGTTGTTCTGAGCATGAACGCTTAAGGTCTGTTGTAATATCAGGTTTGGTGGAGTGCGCTGATCCCAGCGCAAACTGCCAGAGTTTCGTTCGATTTTGAACACATTAAGAAGATTTTCCATTTTTTGTCGATTGAATGTTTTCCGTCCATGTATTATAGAATGGGAAAGCCTACCGCTAACCGTTCTAGATTGTTAAAAGTTGTACTCCCAAATTCTTTTTTCCAGAAGCAGATTTTGTCTAGGGCATCATTGTTGAAACACTTTCCTCTTTCTGGTATTTATATTAGGCCCTCTCTAACTAAAATTGAAAGAGACCGTCTCCGCTCACTCAGAGCACTCAGAAATAAACAAACTGGTACTGTGGTTGCTTCTTCAACTCAACCTATTATATCGCCGTCGTCCATTGAATCAAATCAACCTCCTACTTCGAATGCTAGTGTTTCTCAATCAACAAATGAAATTGTTACTTCTCAAATCTCGTCAAACCAGTAAGAGATCCTCGGTGCTGTTCTGATGTTTGCTGTATCCTGACCAATATCAGGTCAGTGCAAAAAAATGCTCGGTCCTTGGTTTACCTTATTTCTAGCCTGGATTGTGGTGTCGTTGCTATTACGGAGACTTGGCTGAGGAAGAAAGATGAGGTGGAACCATTGCTGGCGGACATTACCTTGCTTTATGATATCATAAGATGTGATAGAATTAGGAAAAAAGGTGGAGGCGTAGCTATTCTGGTGAAGAAAAAGTTTTTTCCAGTTCTTGTCTTCTCTGAATGTACTCCTAATGCCTATGAAATTCTCTCAGTTGACCTTCAGTTCAGTATGAGTAAACTCAGGGTCGTATTGGTCTACAGACTCCTAAATCTTCTCTTCATACTAGACGGTTATTCAAATGCTTGAGTGATCTCTCATCATGCAATGTTCCATCGCTTCTCATGGGTGACTTCAACTTTCCTGCAATATCGTGGTCGGATACCCCAATTTCGTCGGATTTGCTGGATGGTGAGTTCTTAGAAATGCTACACAGTCATGGCTTTATGCAGTTTGTGAATTTCCCGACTAGAGCGGCTCATTTTCTCGACCTTCTTTTGTGTAATGATCCCAGTATCATTACAGGGGTGGAGAGATCTCCCCCATTAGGTACCAGTGACCATTCTACGGTCAAATTTCACCTAAATGTATCTGTTCAAAGCAGTTATTTTTACTTTCGCGACTTTAGTAATGTGAATGTCAAAGGGCTATATTGTTACCTGGATTCCATTGACTGGTTGGGGTCTTTTCGGTGCTCGGATACAGTAAATGATATGTATGAGACATTTATATTCATTTTGCGGCATTGCTTGGATCTGTTTGTTCCTGTAAAAAAATTACCGGTGTCCCTCAAATGCATCCCCCGTTATCTCAAGAGATTCTATGTCCTCAAAGAGAAAGCCTATAAAAAGGCTATTGAAACCAATATTGCGGATGATTGGGATCGTTACAAATCAGCTTGTGATAAATTCGAGAGAAAACTGTTCAAGTTCAATTGCTCAGTAGAAAAGAAGGTTGTAGAATCTAAACATAAGGCGGCACTCTATAAGTATATCAATAAAAGGATTAAACCTAAGGAAGGTTTGGGCTTCCTACGATCCAGTGATGGTTCTATTGTTACTTCTGACCATGGTCGAGCTGAACTACTTGCTGATGTTTTTGAAAGCGTTTACCTTCCAAGAACCTGCCGCACACTCCCTCCCTTACCTGTCAATGGTTTCCCTACTATGGGGGATTCATTATGGTTTGATCGTAGCGATATCCTTGATTTGCTCTCACATTGGCATTATTGTTCGTCCGTAACGCCTGACGGTATTCCATTTAAGTTAATCAAATTAGTTTCCAGTAAAATTTCTTCTCCGTTGGAATACCTGTTCAATTTGATATTTTTCGAGCTGAGGTTCCGAATAGATGGAGGCATGCGTTAATCATTCCCCTAAAGAAGAAGTCTCCCTCTTTTGATCCGCTGAATTACAGGCCCATAAGTATTACTTCCCTATTTTGTAGAGTCTTCGAGAAAATTTTGAGGAAAAGAATTGATCAACATTTGTTTGTCAACCGTGTACTGCCTGCATGCCAGCATGGCTTCAGGAAAGGTAAATCTACCGAAACACTTATGCTGGAATCTCTAAACGAATGGACCTCAGCGCTAGATTGCAGGCAAAGTCTTGATATAATTTATTTGGACTTCCAAAAAGCTTTTGACAAGGTTTCTCACAGGCTGCTTCTTTTGAAACTGAGCCACGTAGGGTTACATCCTAGGATTGTCAGTTGGATCAAGGCCTTCCTCAGTAATCGCACATTTCAAGTGGTGGTTAATAATGGTTGTTCTTCTATTCGGAGCGCCCCCTCAGGCGTTCCACAAGGAGGGGTCTTATCTCCGCTTCTTTTTGCGATATATGTGTATGACTTGCCCGGTGTAGCATTAAGGCTTGGTGTCAGTTGCAAAATGTTTGCTGATGACATTAAAATCTTTGGAAGGGTAGATACCGAGCACTCCCCCTCCCTTCTGCAGACCGCTCTTGATGATGTTAATCGCTGGTCTTGTGAATGGATGCTTCCATTTTCTCCTGGAAAAACCACGGTTCTCCATCTCGGTTCGAATAACCCTCACATCTCTTATTTCATGTCGGGAGATCCTATTGCTGAAGTCACTTCCGTCAAAGATCTTGGTTTCATTGTTGATGACAAACTCTCATTTGATGAGCATTGTCGATTTATTGCTAACAGAGCTGAACATCGTCTCTTCTTGTTGTTCAAATCTCTGTGTTCAAATGATATTTCGCTTCTCGCTCATGCTTATAAAACTTATGTAAGGTCAATGCTCGAATATGGAACTAGCGTCTTCTCGCCAAGTAAAAAATCTTCAAAGGATCGTATTGAGAAAGTTCAAAATAGCTTCACTAGAAAACTATTCCTCCGCGCTTTGGGATTCACTTACCACAGTATCCCTCGTAGCATTATAAGAAATAAAATGCTTCGTCTTGAGTCCCTTCAAATCAGGCGGGAGAAAAATGACCTAATAATGGTTTACAAGATTCTCCATGGCATGGTTGACTTGAAAGTTAGTGATTTCTTCGAGTTCAGTATTTCTTCTACTAGGGGCGAAACGCTCAAAATCTTTCTTCCGAGGCCAAACTACTCCGTAAGACGTAACTTCTTCACCTTTCGGGCTGGTTCTGAGTATACCAAAATGACCAAAAAAGTAAGGGTGCCTGGATCTCTAGCTGGATTCAAGAGACAGCTCAACCTCTATCTGTGTCCTGTGTAATATAATTTTCTTATGTTTTGTTTTGATTTTATTGTCGGTTTGTTGTTTTGTTTGTGTTATATTACATGTAAGTCATGAATAATAAAGAAGCAGATAATATCGCCTTCACTTTCGAAAGAAAATTTTGGATGAAATTTTTTCTTTTGTTTCAAAAGTATGTGCACACTTAACAAAAGACAAAAACATAGCTGAGATTAGAAATCAGTGGGGCCTCCAGAGTTTCTAATTAGCTCAAACATCCTGTCCGGCATAATCTGAACCACGTTTGGCATAGCTGTTTCGTCGCTGTCGGCCCAAATAGCCTCTACCGCCGCCTTCAGTTCATCCGCGGTATTATACTGCCGGTTGCTAAAGTTAACGCCTTGATCAAGGGCTCCCTATAGGGTTGCAGTAAGGAGGACACACAAGCCAATCTATCGCTTCAGCACCATTTGGTTAAGGCCATTCTTTGGTAGATTGCGAAGCATCGAAAGACACGTGGTCCTGTTGCTAAAAATGCAATTTTCGCTCCGCTTCGCTAAGGAAGGGCAACAGGTGACATTGGAGCACTGCTTGGTATTCTTTACAGTTCATACGCAATAATGGAACGGCAACTTCTGAATTTCCGCTGATTGCGAAACCGCCGCAGACCCATCAACGGGCCTCTTCCGAAATTCCTTCTCGAGAGCACGAGCGACTCACGGCCAAGCCTCTCCAGTAGTAGCAAAATCCACCCGGCCCGTCAAGATCGAACTCTTTCCATGAGTTAAGATTACCTGAGGAGAGAAAGTCCATAAAAAGTTGCTTGTTTTGAAAATAGGAAATTCTCGAAAAACCGTGTCTTCGCCCGGTGTCCTATCCTATGTTGCCATGTCTGTACGAGCAGACTCCAATGTGGCTAACTTGTGCTGGGCCTTGAAGTGAGTAGCCTTTCTCAGCGTCTGTCGAGTGGTGTATTCATTTGAGCGGATGAGGGGCTTAGTGGTCATTTTCGAGGCTGGAATAAAAATCTGAGCTCGGACTGTCAATGAAGAATCCGACAGGATGTGGGCTACTCTTTTGTTGTTCTGAGCAGTCAAGGATCGTGGATGGAGCGGAGTGTGTGCTGAGTATAATTATCAGGGTGCCAGATAAATCTTCGAATGCATTAAGGAGAACGACCAAGTTATCGTGCGATTTCTAGATTGGAACGTTCATTATCATGCAGAACCTTGATCTGAGCTTGCTCATCTTCAGGAAGAAGTATGGCGCGAATTGACATGATGACGAAATGAAAACAGCAAAGTCGGATTGAAATCGGTGGAAAATTCGGCGCCAAAATCTGATCTTCTTCAAGTGTGCACATACTTTTGAAACAAAGAAAAAAATTTCATCCAAAAAATTTTTCCGAAAGTGAGGCGATATTATCTGCTTTGCTTCCATTGATAGGTTATCGACTACGAGAAATCGATTGAGAAGGATTTCATAGCACGAAACCTCATGGTTCCCTTTCAAACGTGAATTTTGAGGGTGTGCACATACTTTTGAAACGCACTGTATAATTTTGCCGGCTCCCTAAAACTTCTCCGACCCGAATTATGAGGGCTTGTAGAAAACGCTGTACACTTCAGAGCACGCTCCGCCCATAGTGGGCGGGCCTCCGCCAACGTCAGGCATACTGGAACACCTTAGACATTGCTCCCCTACACTGACTTTCTCTTTGAACTATAGACTCACTCCAAACCGAGTTATGAATTTTTCATAAAGCACTGCTTTTTTGGAGAACGCCCCGCCCACCGGGGGTGGGTCTCCCTAATTCGATGTGACTTACCAATGCACACCTTTACCCACTTTTTGGCCCAGTTTCGAGGTCGTTTTGTCACTGAAATCGAAATCTTGGTCTTCGGTACAGTTCATTTCGACGCACGCCACGCCCTCTGTGGGCGGGGCTCCGCTTAGCTGATGTGTGTTTTGTATTACGTGAGACCTTGCCCACCCATTCCACACTTGACCCGGTCTCTCCAGGCGGTTCCCTAGAAGGCTAGATTTTACCTGACAGACCCGACACCCGCAGGAAACAACAACAACAATCCAACACACACACACATGACCATAGACGCATTATTATAAAGTACTGTTTCATAGCTCCAGTAGACGCGCTTAGGCTTGCAAAGTATGATTTATGTAGGAATGCTATCAGAAACCAAGAAGATTGCAGTCGTACTCAGTTATAGTCACAACAATTACCAGCGGGTGGTACCTGATGATTAACTCAATATTTTTTAAGCAACATAATGGGAGAGGAGCCTGCTCGAAAGATTCCTTGAGTTCTATCAGCCCTATGAGGTATACACTAGGTTGATCAGTGAACTGGTGAAGTGGATTTAGAAGCAATAAACAGCTTTGCCATAAGCCGCCATATGGTTAGTGCCTTAAAGGTAACCCTACTACGAGGCCGCAGTCCTACTTGTGCGCCGCACTTCTTGTATCTGAATACGAATCGTAGGGGCTTCGAAGGCTCGTGCCGGGATATCTTACCCGTGAAGTAACTATAACTTCGATTCTTGAGAATGAACTTTTATCGTTATCTGACGGTTGAGCTTAATATTTGTTGTTGTTGTTCACACTTGACACGAGAGTTGTGGCACTTGCACGCTAGAAATGGGCTTCGAACTTCAAAAGGTGTGCTTGTTTATCTCCATTCGAATATTGATTTGTTCTAGCTTGCTGAGTACCACGAGAAGCTGAATAAATATCACGGAGAACTGCAGCAGTACCAGATGCAGCATCAATACAAGACAGCCTTGGATCAGGCGGCTTTCCATAAAGCTTATAACTATAACACAAATTCCAATCAAGGTATGTTTGAAAACTGCAACTGGTCTTCGGAAATTTCTATGCATTTGACAATTCTACAAAAGTAGACCTGACATGAGCCCTATATGCCTCGATATAAGACGGGTAAGGGGAAGTTAATAGTGAAATCTCTAAATCCTTTGTCTTTTGGACTTCAGTATGTCTGTCTTTGTGGGCGGCCTGAATTATTGCATCACCTCTCGTTTTTGGGCTCTTGCAGTGTGGCATGATGCAATATACCTCGCAGTGTCCATTACTACCTCGCTGTATACTTGTGTTTTTCCGTCTGTTTCTCACATTACATTTTTTCTTCTTAAGGTATGTCTGCATCTTCCGAGACTAATACGGGCGCTGAATCAGATGTTTCTGACAAGATGCGGAATTATGGATATGTCACACAATAGAGGCAGTACTGGATGTCACTTAGTAAATTTTCTATCTGATACTTGTTATATTATACCTTTTTATGTTGTTGTTTTGATTCGTTTTGATCTCAATTGGCATAAAGTGCTGCATGTGGAAATTTTTCATCTGACAATTAACGGAATACTGTCCACATACTTAACAAGTTGTTTTTTTTTGGCGAAAACTATTGTCTCAATTTTGAGGATGTTGTGGAGAACATTGTGTGAGGATACGGCTGCGTATGAATTTCCTGTCCTAGCTCAAAATTACTTTGAAAAGGTTGGATCACTTGCTTTATTGTAGAAATTACTTGAAATGGTACAATCACCGTATTTAGTTAGTGCTCATCTGGAAAACGCAATCGCAATCAGTGAATCGTCGTCTGGTTGGCTCGGTCCCAGTAGGAATGGATGCTGAAGAATACAATGCCATTATCCAGAACGCCGCCAAGATAGCTGACTGCTGTGAGTGGTGATCAAATAACTTTTTATCAACCTTAACTGCACAACTTGTAAATTCTGTCTTCAGATGTAGGGCAGGAATGTGAGGTCCGCAGGTTTGTTGCGAAGGATGCTTCGTTCTCTAATTCGACTTACGAAGTCTCTTTTGCTGAAGGTCTGCTTTTGTTTAGAATGGTCCTGTCTTGTATTGTGTCTTACTGTTTGAACTTCAGACGAGTTAAGTGTCGTATTTGTTCCGGTTCAACTAGATCAGAAGAATGAAAAATCTGTTCATATTTCATTCCCTTATAAATTAAGCTGCGTGCAATCGTCTGATTCGAGGTATCGTTTTCGCTTTATAATTTCCCTGCATTAACTTTTGTTTGTTGTTGTTTTATGGTTTCAAGTTTAGTCTGCGGCTCACACTTGCTGTACCAATGAGTATCTCAGACTGTGACTGTCGATGGCTACTCAATAATATGTTTCCTGCTCTCTTTAAATGGCTTAGATTTATCGATCCAAATAGGGTCGTACGTAAAACGAACGCCTTGTTAGATATAGAGAACTATAATATTCGCTACAGGAAGATAAAAGAAAATTATGGACGGCAGCTTGTAGAGGTCATAATTTTTTTGATCGCATTTTTATTTGTTTTGCATGTATACATTTTATTATGATTTCCTGTGCTGTTCAGACCTGGACCGAAAGAACAGATCCGAAGAAATTTGTTTATGAAGACTGCGGTATAGCTGCCTACCTCCTGGTATGTCGATTTTTTGCTACTCATAAATAAAATTTATTCCTCTGTGTTCAGGAATTTTGGAGAAAACGTGGTCGCACACCTAAAAAATTTGCGGATTTAGGTTGTGGAAATGGATTATTGGTGTATTTGTTGAACAAGGAAGGCGTGAGTCCCATCACCTTGTTCCCAAGTTATTTGAATAATTTCCAGTTATTCAGATAGATGGAGTCGGTATCGATATACGAAAACGGAAAATATGGTCGGAACAGCTGGCTGGCACTTCTCTTATTGAGGCAGTTGTTGATCCGTCTAAGGTATTTTTAAGTGATATTTCATAACGACAGAAAAAAAAGTTGGAAGTCATATCCGTTCTGCTTATTCGCCCAGTAAACTTCTGGTTTCTTTGTTCTGCTCGGGCTATGTTAAGGGCACGAGTCCTTTTCAAACCTTCTTGTGGTCATTGGACGCTTAAGGATTTCCGTTTTGTATATCAATCATAAGGAGTCGAAGCCACTTTACGTTAGCTTCTACTCAGACGATCATCTCAACTTTGTGTCGAATGCACCCCTATTCTGACGTTTACAAATGCAAACATGAGGTGAGAAATGTACCTGTCCCTCGATCTCGTCATTTCTTAAGAGAGGCGCGAAAATTTATAGATGAGAATGTGTCAGTATTATTCAAGAAAAGGATGACTCGACGTCTCTTTCATTTGAAATATTCTTGAATTGTAAATGTAATATAGCCGTTTTGAAGAAAGACACTGCAATACCTAATGATGTGGACTACTTGATTGGCAATCACACAGATGAGCTGACACCTTGGATGCCTGTCATGGCTGCTAGGTAAATTTTCAATAGACATTCACGACATTCGACTTGCTTCTTGTGTTGTTTTTTTTTCGACATGTTGCACGGTTTTTTTTCTAGAATGAATTGCGACTTTTTTGTGCTACCCTGTTGTCCTTTCAACTTTAATGGCAAGTACGTGGCAAGGCCAGGTGACAGTGGTAGTCAATATGATTCATTCCTCAGATTTGTTCGAGAGGTACGTTATGTGAAGAATGATTTTTAATAGCATCGGATACATTTCAAGATTCCCCGTAGGAGTAGTGGATAGTTGGGTGTGTGCAAGTTTACAATCAATTCGGTGGGAAAACCATACGGCGCCAAATTTTACGGAATTCGCCGCCCTCAATGCAATAGGACCATCAGTAACTCTTTCCCATGGATTTTCAAATTTTTTGAAATTTTTTAATTGAATGTCCCTCTGAATTGTATTGCACTAAAGACGAGAAATCGAAAAAAAGTTAAGGTTTGCGCACGTCTGGGATTTATTGTCGAGGAAGATCGTCTGAGCATTCCCAGTACCAAAAGGGTAAGTGACGTGTTACACTTGAGGTTTTTATTTGACAAGTGAATCACCTGTCAACTTTTTTCTTCTTTTGTCCCTCGCTGGGTTCCAGTGAATGCTCTGCGAATCGGTTCTGCATGTGTCAGATCACTTCGTCTTTCAGTTATGTTACGTTTGCACTATCCCACCTCAAGGACTTGTTCCTAATGTAGAGGATATTATTGAGGAATTAACTGGCTCTTCTACGAAAGTTTTCCTCCCTAGAAGTAAGGTGGAGCAGGTTAGTTGTTCTGTGTCTGGAGGGCCACACGACAATATTTCGCAGAATGTTTTTGTTTTGCTTCAGGTGCGTAACTGCTTAAATGTTCCAAAAGATGTTCGGCTAGACTTGACAAAGCGGTTTTTCTTTAAGCTCTTAGAGATGAACGACGAAGTACAAAAGTAAGATTACAACAAACCTGCTCACAATAATAGTTTTCAAGTATGAGTTTTATGTACTTGTAGCGGCTGGCGACGAGGTGGAACTATTGAACTTGGCAAACTAGCTGTGCTTTTGACGCCAGAGGAAAAACAACTAATGAAGCAACAGTGTGGAGGATTGCAAACTTTTCTGAGGAATCAACACCAAGTGTTCAAGGTTAGAGCTTAATTCTTGGAGTTTTTATTTTTTTCGTGAAGGAAAGAAAAAACTCCTATGTTGATCTAATGAGTGCACAACGTAGCGCTCTGCCTCTATGCGCGAGAAATGTTACAATTTAATGGTGTGGTTTTAGGGGTGATTTCCGCATTAATCAATAGTTCGGCTAAAATCGGTATAAAGGAGGAGCGTTTTACTTTGAGGAAATCTAGTTAATTGGTGATAGAAATAAAAGTGCATTAGATAGGGCCAGCAGTCAGAAACACTCCCGTTTTTTCTTCTTCCTATAGTCAAAAGCAAGAGATCTTACATTAGTCTGCATTCAGTTAAATTTTGTGATAGTTAATCGCAAATGTTTGAGTCGGCACGAGGGTGTTATTGTGAATTTACCATTCACACGTAGTTTCTCTATTCCTGCTTGTCATGTAGATATTCTTTTTAACCAATCGTTGTAAGTTTGCAACGGTCCTTATATGTTTCTCTTGTGATGGATGGGAACTAACTCAATTTGAACTCAATTCTGTGTTCAATATTTTCATAGATTCGCTGTAATGAAGATCAAGAAGGTTCAGGTCACAGGTGGCATGGCACAAATTCGTGATTGGCGAGAAGACGCATCGCGCAAATTCAGAAAATCGAAAGGTGCTTCTGCTCGTAACGGTATTTCTCCTTGTTGGATGGCAGAATATCATCCTGATGGATGTCCAATGAAGGATATCATTGCGCGCGCAACACAGATCTGTGCGGCGAATTTTGATGGTGCGACGAAAATTTTCAAATTTGGCTTGATACAATACGAATATCTGAATTCTCCGCTAAATTCTATGCCGCTCTTTCTTCGTCAACCATTATCCTATTTTTCTCGGTCCTCGGCCCGGACAATAAATCTCGTGGCGAACTCCGTCTACTTCGGTGCGTGCCCTGCCCACCAATAGCATTTGGCTCTTCCTTTCGCGCGACACTGCATACCAGACCGCCTTTTTCACCGTTTAGCACACTTACGCAAACCAAAATTGCGACACATTGGCGAAAGCTCCGCCCATTAGGTGGTCATGCTAACCCCCACTAAATCATTTGCTTCTCTTTTGCCTCTTCGGGCAACTCTCTTAGTTTTCTACTCCCTTTTTCCGCAGCGCTCTGTATCTTCTTGGAGGGCAGATGAATATAGTAGGAGACAAACAATTAGGCACCACTTTGGTCATGTCCCGCGCCTACGCATTAATCAACCTTCCACCACATACATACTTATAGAGAGAGATGAGGGACTCTATAGGACAAGTTAGAAATTTTCGTACACGAGACAAAAAACTCACCCATAATATGAACGGCACCGAACAACCTAACCTATTGGGCCGGTTCACCCTGCCACTTCGCCCACCCACTTATATCTTCTCTTAATATAATACCGGGACACTTCGTGAACCGAGTAATGATTTTCGAGCAACTCCAGCCCGATGTTTGGCTTGACCCCGCCCATTATAATGGGCTGTTTAGGCCTACCATCTGCAGCCCAAATTCTTTCACATTTTCGACCGTAACTCCATGAACTCTGGAAGCGAGCTTATAAGATATTCGCGTCGCAAACATCGCCACTTGTGTCATGCCCGAACGCCGCGCCAATGCGTTTGACTCCACGCCCAGAAAGAGCCTCCCACTCCTCCACCCAACTCTATCCACCTTTTTCCGGCTCACTAAGACGTCTCCGGCCCGAATTATGAGGACTCGTAGAAAATGCTGTTCACTTCAGAGCACGCTCCGCCCACTGTGGGCGGGCCTCCGTAAACTTCGTGTATGCTGGGCACACCTTAGACATTGCTCTCCTGCATCATTTTGTTTTCTGCTCTGTAGTTTTCCTCCCAACGATTTTCGAACAAATATTTCAGAGCCGCCCCGCGTTTTTTTTGGAGAACGCTCCGCCCACTGGGGGTGGGTCTCCCTCATTTGATGTGACTTACCAATGTACACCTTCACCCACTTTTTGGCCCAGTTTCGAGGCTGTTTTCCCACTGAAACTGAAATCGTGGTCTTCGGTACAATTCATTTCGACGCACGCACAAACCCCACGCACCACCCGCGCCGCAATCGCCCCACCCTGCTGTGGGCGGGCTTCCGCCATACTGGAGTGTGTGTTTTGTATTAGGCGTGAGACGCTTGGCCAACTCATCCCACTGCGATCCCGGTCCCTGTCCAAGTTTGGATGCGAGGATGCTAAGGGACTTTCGTGAAGCACGACAATACAGATACGACTGACGACCAGACGAAGCCGCTTTATGTGAAGAATGATTTTTAATAGCATCGGATACATTTCAAGATTCCCCGTAGGAGTAGTGGATAGTTGGGTGTGTGCAAGTTTACAATCAATTCGGTGGGAAAACCATACGGCGCCAAATTTTACGGAATTCGCCGCCCTCAATGCAATAGGACCATCAGTAACTTTTCCATGGATTTTCAAATTTTTTGAAATTTTTTAATTGAATGTCCTCTGAATTGTATTGCACTAAAGACGAGAAATCGAAAAAAGTTAAGGTTTGCGCACGTCTGGGATTTATTGTCGAGGAAGATCGTCTGAGCATTCCCAGTACCAAAAGGGTAAGTGACGTGTTACACTTGAGGTTTTTATTTGACAAGTGAATCACCTGTCAACTTTTTTCTTCTTTTGTCCCTCGCTGGGTTCCAGTGAATGCTCTGCGAATCGGTTCTGCATGTGTCAGATCACTTCGTCTTTCAGTTATGTTACGTTTGCACTATCCCACCTCAAGGACTTGTTCCTAATGTAGAGGATATTATTGAGGAATTAACTGGCTCTTCTACGAAAGTTTTCCTCCCTAGAAGTAAGGTGGAGCAGGTTAGTTGTTCTGTGTCTGGAGGGCCACACGACAATATTTCGCAGAATGTTTTTGTTTTGCTTCAGGTGCGTAACTGCTTAAATGTTCCAAAAGATGTTCGGCTAGACTTGACAAAGCGGTTTTTCTTTAAGCTCTTAGAGATGAACGACGAAGTACAAAAGTAAGATTACAACAAACCTGCTCACAATAATAGTTTTCAAGTATGAGTTTTATGTACTTGTAGCGGCTGGCGACGAGGTGGAACTATTGAACTTGGCAAACTAGCTGTGCTTTTGACGCCAGAGGAAAAACAACTAATGAAGCAACAGTGTGGAGGATTGCAAACTTTTCTGAGGAATCAACACCAAGTGTTCAAGGTTAGAGCTTAATTCTTGGAGTTTTTATTATTTTTTTCGTGAAGGAAAGAAAAAACTCCTATGTTGATCTAATGAGTGCACAACATAGCGCTCTGCCTCTATGCGCGAGAAATGTTACAATTTAGTGTGTGGTTTTAGGGGCGATTTCCGCATTAATCAATAGTTCGGCTAAAATCGGTATAAAGGAGGAGCGTTTTACTTTGAGGAAATCTAGTTAATTGGTGATAGAAATAAAAGTGCATTAGATAGGGCCAGCAGTCAGAAACACTCCCGTTTTTTCTTCTTCCTATAGTCAAAAGCAAGAGATCTTACATTAGTCTGCATTAGGTAATTTTGTGATAGTTAATCGCAAATGTTTGGAGTCGGCACGAGGGTGTTATTGTGAATTTACCATTCACACGTAGTTTCTCTATTCCTGCTTGTCATGTAGGTATTCTTTTCAACCAATCGTTGTAAGTTTGCAACGGTCCTTATATGTTTCTCTTGTGATGGATGGGAACTAACTCAATTTGAACTCAATTCTGTGTTCAATATTTTCATAGATTCGCTGTAATGAAGATCAAGAAGGTTCAGGTCACAGGTGGCATGGCACAAATTCGTGATTGGCGAGAAGACGCATCGCGCAAATTCAGAAAATCGAAAGGTGCTTCTGCTCGTAACGGTATTTCTCCTTGTTGGATGGCAGAATATCATCCTGATGGATGTCCAATGAAGGATATGTGTCATTTTAAACACTGATTATAAGTATGGCCACTTCTATTTCCTTGCTCGTAATAAGTTCTATGGCGTTTGTTATTAAATGTACGAATTTGTTGACTCGTTTGTTATCATATCGTTTGTTTGTACACTGCTGAATAAACCAGTATATGGGTGTATGTTGGTCTGAGCAATCTGCTTGGTGTTGAGTCACACCTGTGTTATCTGATAATTTTCTCATTGATTGTGACGTTTTTTTCTGTTTATATCTGAAACATTTAAGGCAATTCCATTTCCTTCGTATTCTCGCTCTGTTCCATTCCCTCGGTACGAAAGCAACTCATTCAACTAGTTTAGGCTCAACATGAGCGAATTAGTAGAAAATGTTTTGTATTTAGCCGACTCGTACAAGGTGCGCTTATTCATTGGTTTGTGTGCCTGAATTTGAATTTATTTACTCTAGATCATTTTTGATTTCAGCTAACTCACCACAATCAGTATCCCGAGGGGACCACTCATGTCTACTCATATTTTGAAAGCCGAGGTGGAAAGTTCCCAGAGGTAATTTTTCTGAATACTGCTTTAATAGCGTCCTTTTGAATTCTATGTTGTTGGCATTATTTTTGCTTCAATGCAACTAGGGGAATCTTTCACTGTTGGACTGACCCGTTACAAAACTTCTTCCTTGTGCCCACCCACCTGTGAGGTTGTCTGGGCAATAGAAACGTGATAGGATCGTCGGTCGCGAGTAAGAACTGAGGTGTTATAGGACAATGCCAATTATGGGTGGAAGCATCTACTATGTATTATGTATTTCTAGAGAGGAAGTGAAATGCGCGGCTCAGTCCTGAAAATTACTCAAGACTGGAGGCATTTGCTCCGTCTCTCTATGATGTTCCTAGAGAGTCGACTCCTAACCCTTTTACGCTTTTTCTGGCTATTTTTGCTAGGACAAATCCCTTGCTTTCTATACTCCGGTTTTTGTCATTTACATGCTGGGGGACAGCTTCCTCGTTTTTCTTTCTGAAAACAAACCTCTCTATTGAAAGGTATAGGCAATGCCTTCAATTCATTATGTCCTTCTTTCCATCCAGGTATTGCTTCTAGGTCATATGGTCCCAATCCCGTTCCTAATAATTTTAAGCTCCCCTGCAAATTTGGTCCTAGACTAATGGTCATTCACTGCCTCGATATCCATAGGAATGGTAAAGTTTTCCTAATATTCCCGTACTGCGTTCACTTTACTCACTTTATGAAGACTATTTAGGTATGCTTTTTCGGTCTCCAGTACATCCTTAAGCGGTGGCTTGTTGGACCGGTGGTGACCCATGAGATGATAGATGAAGCGAAGGCATTTTACAATGTGAGACGATTTTTGAATGTGGGTTTCAATTGATGTTCACCCAATATTCTTTAGCTGCACTTCAAATTGGATGTCTTCAACGAGTCCGGCTGGCGGCACATTGTTGATGTTAGTTCCTTACCTTTCGGTGACCTTTTTCTCATTATTGTTACTTGTGTTTGTTCAGAACCATGGCGGATGTCTCCCTCTGCGAATCAAAGCAGTACCCGAAGGAAAGTGTTGTGCCTATTAAGAACGTGTTGTTTACCATAGAGAACACTGATCCTGATGTTCCATGGCTTACAAATTGGTTTGAGGTTTGAACAAAAGCATTTTTTCTACCACTTCTTTAAAACTTTCCACATAGACTTCGAGTTCTGTCTTCCCTGTCTTTATGAATCAATAATGTAAGGTTTTGTCTCGAGTAGATGTGCTACAAGCAAAGCAATGATTAGGGTTGACGATTGATGATCTCACATGTGAATAATTTCGTTTTGGGAAGCGCCACGAATTCTTCCATTCATAGTCACGCTGCGATTGTGCGAATGCAAATTCGCAGAGTTTGCGGTTTCACGATCTCAAAATCAAAATTGACTGCGGCCTGTGCTTACATTCTCTACGCGGGAATAAAAAACATCGGTCGGGTGTATTCACAGATTATTCAAAAGTGAAACTGATTCTTTTGATCTGCTCATATTATCACTAATGGAGGATCCTAAAAAAAAACTGATTTTTAGACTCTCCTGGTGCAGACATGGTATCCTATGACGGTATGCACTATTTCAAGAGGCCTATAAACAGCTGATTGCCCGTTTCCTTCACATCACTAGTGACTCTATGAAAGGATTGCCGTTTAAATTACATGATTTTGGCTATAGAGGCTCAACGTCCGTAGAGGTATGTGGACACATCAAATTCAATGGAACCTTTAATTTCTCAAGTAAAAATACTTCAGAGTGCAGGAATCGGGTGCTGCTCATTTAGTAAACTTCATGGGTACTGACACCATAGCTGGTTTGCAACTATGTCGGAAGTATTACTCTTGTGAGATGGCGGGATTCAGCATTCCAGCCACTGAACACAGGTTTTCTTTACAGTTTTGAAGTGAATGTAACAAAAATTGAAACGAAAGAGGTTCAGTACAATAACAACATGGAAACGTGAAGGCGAGGTTGCCGCATTCCGTAATATGCTGCAGCAGTATCCAAAAGGTCAGTTAGTTCCCTTTTATGTTGATTTTAGATCTTCTACAATGTTTTCGTTCTAATTAATGCTCCTGTCGGAGTTTACAGCATGTTATGCGATCCTGTTCACAGTTTTTTCTGAAGGGTCTATTTCTGTTGTATCTGACTCTTACGACGTCTTCCATGCGGTGTCATCGATATGGGGAGAAGAGCTCCGTGAGGAAGTGATTGAACGGGGTAAACGTGGATGCCTCGTGATACGACCAGACCCCAGACTCAGGTGATCCGGTCACGGTGCTGCTGAAGGTATATTCACAAGAAACTCACGGATAGTGATACCGTTTCGAGGAAAGATATGTTAGTCGCATGGTGCCTGCCTTTGATCAGTCATTCTCGTGCTCTCGGTTTCTTTCTCGCTGAAGTGCATTGATTACATTGGTACTTCATGACATCAGGGTGTAAGTTGGAAGAGTTTGATTACATCAGGAGATTTCCTGGTTTATCCAGTTTTTCCAATGTCTGAACTGCTACCAGTGTGCCATTTGTAAAACTCACGTTACTCCGGTGCTTGAGAGGAACTCATACTTGGCGAATGGCTGCTACCTACCAGTTGAAAATATGGGGATGAGTCCACTTTTATGTTTCGGGGATGATGAGGAACGGCAAGGGCGAGCGCATTCCTTCTGGATTTACTCGGTTTCACGTTTTCGGTGGACAGCGAGCAGCCATTACCTGAGTTGTTCATTGTATGTCAATCTATACGCATTTTTTTGCACAGCCCCATCCCATATTTACTATTTTGAATGCAATTTCTACATATAGCTGCTTTATTGTATTCAAAATTTAAACTCGTTGTGACGATGAGCATCTCTTTTTTATGTGCCGGGCATTTCCCACTCGATCTTACTTCGTTTATGATCTTTTTCCATTCTTGCTTCGTACTCGATCCATAAATATATTGGTAGAGGAACTCTAAACACGGGGATTCTTTTTTTCGTAACTTGCTTCGTAATGTCTTTTTAGATAGTCGGTGTAATGAAAGTGAAGATGGTGAGTCTTTTGTATTTAGAGATTTAGAATCCTTCCCCAGTTCTGCGATTTTTAGGTAGGTATCATTGGTATCATGAGTATTATTAGGAGTAGGTTGTCGGTCGCTGTTTTGAAATGTGTGAATAGCTTTCATGATCTAGAAATAGTCAACTAAATTCACTGAATAGTCTGTTGCCTTTTCATGTTACTGATTATAATAAACGATTTTAGTTTAACGGTAGCGTGTTGAATGTGGTTAAAATTTCCAGTTACCGATTGAAAGTAGGTTGAGTAGTCACAAGTAATGTGGAGATTCTCCCGAACCTTTCTCAAGCAGGCTTCTCAGAGGCAAGGGGCAACAACTGGCGGACTCTGTTGCAGAGAAGTTGTCGCTTCGCCGAGAGTCGGCAGACTACCATACAAAGGTGACGGGCGGTGTGGCTGGTGTGGTGGCAAGTGCTGGTATTACAAGCACCAGGCGCGGGTTAAAGCTTTGTTCAAGCGAATGGCGCAGGGCGAATGAGCCATGTCTCTGGAGTCGTGCTTCCCCCAATCCACCAGTCTACCGACCAGCTCAAATTTGAATGGTGATATTTCCTTGAATGGAATTGAGGTGCGGAACATACCAAAAATTTGCAAAAAAAAAAAAATTGAGATATTCTCATCCTTTTTTTATCATCACACTCATTGTGAGCAGAAGGTGGAACAATGATAGTCACGGAAAATTGCAAGTCCTTGTAAGCTCGTAGTTCGGGTCAAGTCTCATATCGAATGTTCTGTCCATACGTTTGTGCTAAACGGCGGAATACCGGAAATCAAGGGGCACTACGGCGGCATCATATTCATAATTCCCTCTATTTAACTGCATAGCTTGAAGCAAACATTTGAAGGAAATGTTGGGCATGGGCAATTCGCGTGGCTGCTTACCACGCGAGCGGTCCGGGAATCGAATCCTGGGTCGTGAGTCGTCCGGGCCAACCAAGCCTTCCATCCCTCCGGGGTCGGTTAATTGGTACCAGACTTGTCTGGGAGGATAAAAACACTGACTTGTACATCGGCTGGCCCCCCCCACGCCCGCACCGCCTGCCCAAGTCTTGTGTATCCAGATCCCATTCCAGTGTCACTACGTATTGATGGAAGAAAAGTGCTGCCTGCTTCAAAAGGCACACGATCAAACGGCACTGCTTATCCTTACGTTATCGAAACTTCAGTCGCATGGTTAGAGCCGCAAGACTTGGTATAGTAGCATAAGCCTACTTGTCGGTAAGCGGTCTCTTCTTGTCAGGGTAAGTGACAGCATGGATTTGCGGCTGTCGCTGACTACTGCCACTGGACTTTACCAAAGCGACGCTTACTCCGAAATGGTGCACCTTTGCTGTTTAAGACTTGGGAAGAGTATGTCCACCTGCTCTGGAGAATTGCACAGTCGCACTATTATCTTTAATGTTTTCCGAATGGGTTTGAAGTCAAGTGCATGGCGCGTCTCCACCATGCCACTGAATGCGAGCCGTTTTTGCACTGTTTCATCCTGCCCACCAAATGGATTGGACCACATGAATTCATCTGGAGTGTGCCTTTAAGTATTTTTCTTCCAACGGAGTTCTTTACTCTTTCCTTCTATCTATGTATTAGTCTAGTGCCATATGGGAAATGTTACGTAGTCGGCATTTTACCTGCCTTCTCATCAATGTCCGACATGCCTCAATCAAAGAGAAATTGAAAAATTACAAATTTCCTGAACTGAAGAGGGAGGATTGCGAACAGGTTTGTGGCTCATGCAAATTTGATTTTTTTGGTTAGTTATTGGCAACTGTTCAAAGTTTTTTAGAAGTATATCTCCGGCTGGGGTCCGGGTGGTCAAAAGGTGAACACGGCTCAGAATGCTGTTCAATTGCGACATGTTCCCACTGGCCTCGTTGTCAAGGTAGGTGAAATGCGAAGTATTATTATATGAAAAAGCATTTTGGCTTGGTCTAGACATACTGACTAATGGGACCCATCGCCCACGAATACCACTTTCCACAAGGACGGCGGAAGTTGAACCTCTCTCAGGTCAACCGCCCCTACTCATTTTTCTTTTGTACTTTGTGGAAGTCTCTGGGAGTCTAGTCCATTATCTTCATTTTTTTGATGGATGCAAAGCAGCACCTCGATTAGTTGTGACTATTTCGGATTGATGAAAGCTTTACAAAAATGTTTCCCTATTCACAAAAACTCACAGGAAATTTTTTACCTGGTTTCCTGGGCTATTATGTAAAGGTGAGAGGCATATTCTTCCTTAGACACTATACCGCTTTTCTTATCAAATCCCATCCAAGGAAGCGAAAAGTTCTCGATTTCTCAGCTATGGCTGCGCTTGGGGCCTAAGTACGAATTGGCAGGATACAAAAATTAAACTCGATGCTGCTCGATAGGCTTTTAGAATGA